AATCCTACTTCATCTCACTGTAATTTAATCTCTTCACCTGTCTAACAATCCATTTTAAGACCAATAATACCTGTTTTCATTTGCCTGCTCTTCTCCTCATTCATCATTAACTCACTTAACATTTTTTTATTCACAGAGTAAATTCAGTCAACCCACCATCATTAGCCTGTAACTAAAGCAAGGTATTCCACTGTGCATGTGTAGTTTGTGTGTATGTTTTTGTGTCACGTATGTCGCTGCCCTGATGCAGCTCTGTCTTCAGTGGTGTCTCCATTTTATCAACTCTGGGTTCTCCCTCACAACTCGACAACACAACTGAATCATGTTTTGTATCACAAATTGGTGGCATGGTGATGAGTTGATACGGGAGATCCCTGAAGTCCTCTCCGCTCTCTGTTCATTGTTATTTATTATGTCACACTTGTTTAGTGAGATTCCTCAGGTGAGCTTATCCCCTTCTGAGTTGCTGCTGTCAGCGTCACAGCGTGTCTGTTGGGATGTTTCTGTCGATGTGTGACCGATGCTTGTTCTCGTGCTTCCTTCGTTAGATTCAGTTTCCCACAAAAACCCTTTGGTAACGTTTTATTTTAACCTTAGAATTTAGCACAGTATATAAAGATTTGTGAAACAGTTTACCAGACATTAAATTGTGGCCGTGAGCAGATGAAGATATTAAATGTTAATGGATGTAAATATTAACAATGTAAAACATCTGTAACTGGATACTAAGTTGTTATTATACAAAATACCTGCTTATAACAAATGGTAATTTCACAAACTATTTATATGTTTATGTGCTAAAATAATCCGTTACCAATATTTTTGATTGGGTTTTTGTCAGAGCCTTGGTGGGAAAATAAACGAGTTCTTGAAAAGATGCTTTTCATAGTGTAGATGCATGTTTTCATAGATTCTTCCGTCCTGTAGAAAGCTTCATTTGCAAACAGTGTTTTACAACATCAATTTTGGTTGTTTGGTTTTGATATACGGGTGCGGTGGTTCTAGTTTGTCCCATCCGATGATCCAAAAACAGAAAATCAATGTCCTTATGTGAATGATCGAAGTATTCCTTAACTAACACAAGAACTTTGGGCCTGATGAAGCAAAAAGACTTATGCTGAATGACCCACTGCTTAAATTTTTATTTTTATTTGGATAAGTTTGCTTGCTGCTTCAATTAGATTTGATGTCTAGAAATGAATTGTTCTTTCAGGTATTAGTTCTGTTTGGGGGACGTTTAACATAGTTTAGGTGTCATTGTATTTCACTGTCATGTGTCCACACTTCCTTTCCCTCTCTGATTTATCTATTTTGTCTCTTCAGCAGGCACAGAAATTAAATAGAGATGTAGAAGAAGAGGATCTTAAGGGTTGGAAAGAAAGAGGCGGAGAAGAGAAAGAGGAAGAAGATCACAACCAAAGAGGGGGGTGACAGTGAGCCAACCAAAAGAAGAGGAGAAAACACAGGAAAACATAAAAAAACTAAAAAACTTCATCAAAAAAAAAAATACATAAAAATAGCCTCTATATAAGGAGGGAGATTTAATTAAAATACAGGGAAGTATCCATACAGATAAAATATTTAAGAAATAAAGTATGTATTAAAAGTGATTTTTTTGTTAAACTTGGATATTTTCAGCTGTTGTGTTTTTGTGTCCTCTGTCCATTTTCTTATCATTGATTTTCCAGCTCATTACTTTTATTCTAGTCTTTTTGTCGCTCGTATCTCTTGTGCAGCCTCCCTGCTTCTGGCTGGGCTCTGTACAGTGTGGTGTAGGGTTGCAGGATGATTTCATACGAGCAGAACCACCACGTGCCTCCAGCTGCCGGCGCTCTCTTTAGGCTTCATGCAGTCAGTGGACTCTTGGAGGTCTCATGAAAAAATGGGCATGTCCACTCGGTCACAACACTTTTGGTCTTATATATTGTTTACTTGATAAGATGCAATAAAGTGATGATTACAAACTCATGCAGTTGTAGTGTGGAGAACAAATTTATTGATCCTTTACACACACACGCATCACAGAAGGATTCCCTCTTCATCTACACATCATGTATTTTAGTGGTTCACATTTGTATTTCATCGGTGGTTTTGGTTTTCAGCTTGCATCAGATTTTCTCGTAGTATTCTTTATGAGAGCTGCCCGGTGTCAGTTCATCGCTCTTTGGTTTGCAAAGCTGCATCAACGTGTGAGATTCCATTAGATGAGGCTCCTGAATGGTATGTCGACGTCCTTCATTTGCTTTTCATAATCTTCGTCAAACATCTTCAATTGCTCGGGTGTGAAATGGTTTTTCCAATCACCCACTTCACCTGCAAAGAAACAAAAATACAAAAGGGAATATGACTGTTAGTTATAGAAATATAAGTATATATGTTACAACTTATAAATAACTGAGAAGTTCTGTTGCTGAACAAAAGGGCGTCAACAGATTATTCCCCTAAGCCATTATTCTGCCGATTATTTTCTGTATTGATTGATTGATCGTCAGAATCAAATGGTGGCTGAATTATTTTACTGCTACGAATGAACGAATGAATGGACTCATCTTTTTCAGCTCTATTGGACATGCCATTTAAAAAAAAAAAAAAAAAGCAAGCAAAGGCAAATAACACAGGGACCACTAAGTGGCAGTATTGGACTGTACAATGTACAGGGTGAAGACGGACAGTCATAGTGTGATAAAATATTAGTGAGTTCTGACTCTGTGAAGCTTTTACTGTTGATGTTGACAGGTTTGATTTAAGTGCATTTCATGACAACACTCCTGCTTTGACCGGGCGTGTTTACAGAGAGACGTCGGACACCTTTTCTCATGAAGGGGGAGACAGATTGGTCGAACACATTGGACGGGATGCAGGTGTAGTTGCTCATTGGATTCTCCTTCATGTTCTTAAAGGACGTGAGCTCCACAATTCGACTGATGACCTCATCAGAGAGCGACAGGTCCAGGTACCTCATGATGCGCTCAATTTCACGCCGGGGATTCTGGGGGAATAAAAATGCAGTCATTTCTGGCCTCTGCTTTATTAATAATCAGCTTTCAGAGTATTTATGCTGTGATTTGTTATCAGAAATGTTGGGTCCATATATAATCCTTACTTCTTTGATGTCCTCAAAGAAGAGATAAAGGATGTTCCTCTTCTCTCTCTCCACCCAGTATCCTTTCACATGGTCATACCAGGAGCCCCAAGACACTGTGGGAACAACACAAGTCATTGAAAGACACACAAAAAATCAGCAGCACAGATATTTAGCCAGCTGTGTCTGCTGTGCTATAACATCTCAACATCATTTGCTAAAAAATATGTTTCATTTTCTTTCTAGTGTTAATAAGTCATTTACTTATCTTTGTAGATCAGTTATTAACTTTCCGATTGCCAGGTCATGAAAACTCCTCTGGACTGATGTTTACCCTCCTACAGCTGACTTTTACAATGGCTGACATGATGGTCGGGAAGTCAGTGGGTGATGCTTTAACCCTACAACAGCAGTTTTTTGGCCACACATGGCCGGTAAAAACAAACTGAGTGCAACACTGACACTTTTTCACTTGATAAAAGTTTTTAAACAATATTGTTGGCATGGATATTTACACATCCGGCAGCCATTGAGCAACATTCCATTTGTTTATAGTAAGAATATTCATTTCCTTTTTAGCTCTGTTTTTGGTCTCCACCCACTTCTGAGGGAAATATCTGGTTCTAGCTGCTAAATGCTTAATAATAGATTGTTACGTGATAAAGGTAAACCTCAAAAACAGTTTGATAAATTTTGACTATTTGCAACAGCTGGATTGTCAGCTTTACAAAAAAGAATGTGGATCCCAAAGTCTGACTGAAACACTTCATGCACTACTGAAAGTGACTAGAAGTCAAATATGACACAATAGAAGATATAAATATATACCAGTTGAATTTCTTTTTGAAAATCAGATCTTTGTTTGTATAGATTTACCACAAACTTTTCTCTAGTGGTGAGTTATAAGTTGGGTTGGAAGCTTTGTGAATAGAGATATGTCCAGTTTCAAGGTAAAATGACACTGAGGAATGTGAATTAATCTGCTTACACTCTCCACGCATGAACTTGTGGACATAGCCGCCCCAAGGGCCCGGCTCCGGCTGGGTCATATTCATCTTGTCAAAGTAGAAGTAGCTCACCATATTGTCTTTTGCATTGCGTGCCACGTAGATCGTCTAAAGGGATTGAGAACAACAATACAAAGAACAGGTCATTTGAGGAGGGCATTGCTTAACGGCATTGTATTGTTAACCTCTCACACAATTTAACTTTATTGCACTATGTATGAAGAAGCAATAAAGTTAACTGCAGGAAATACCCTCAGCACAAGCTCTCAGATGTCGAGTCTTACTTTGCACTTGTTTTCCCAAAATCCAGGAGGCACCAAATGAAAAGGAAGGTGTGTCTTGATAATTCTCGGAGGATCCATTTTTGTCAGAAGCTCAAGACCTGAGACATATTATGATCATAATTTGATTTGATGAGCGAGACCAATGTGGAGAATTAATTTACTTTGACAGAAAAAAAACAATATCTTTCAGGTTTAAAGTCAAAGTGGACACAAAAATAGAAACAATCAACTCCCAAACTGAACCACCAAAAATATTCTTTACAAAAAGCTTCCAATGCTGAAACATGTAAATAAGATCACACACACACACACACACACACACACACACACACACACACACACACCATCATAATAACCTCATAACACACACCTGAGGGAATGGGTGGTGGGGAGAAGATCTCCAGGAAAGGACTGCGGACAGGTGTCGGGGCTCGTTTGCAGAGCTCAGCATCTCCGTTGTGAACAAGCAGGTCAACAATCTCCTGGGTCCATGTGGTCCCTTGAGTCCCCAAATCACAGAAAATAACACTGACGTGAATGAAGAAGTCACTTCTAATGGATCAAGCATTTTTGAGGAAAAATACAGTCTGACACCAAACTACAGTCTTATAGATGTGTGCCTTTTACAAATGAACCATTCTGATGGCACCACAAAAACAATTTGTTCATTGTGGCCTAATAACAGCAAATTAGATTATTCTCCATTTTAAGAAGTTCAGTGAGCCCACTTAATTTTAATTAACGTTCTTCTTAAGTTTGTTTTATTATTAACTTCATTACTATTGTATGTATTTAAATACAATCAAAAGAGCTTGAAATCAAAATACATGATGAAATGCAGAGATTTACTGTATATGAACAAATCTGGCAGCAGCTGTCTCAGTACCTGCTTTGGGGTAGGTGGCGATGAAGATGTCCGAGGGGTCCGGACTAAAAGCCTGGATTGAGTCAAAGTTGTTGGCGATGTGGTTCATGAGAGGAACCCCTCTGATCGGGATGAGAGGGAAGCGAGTGATGGAGCTGCTGGCCTCCTGAATGGACTGGCTGTAGGACATCTCTTCCTGCTCTGACATGGCTGACACTTGGTCACAACACAGAGAAGCCAAAAAGCAGAAGCTGAAATTTAACTGCAAAGTCAGCCAAGCAACACCAGCGTGCCTGTTCCTCTGGGAGATCCTCTCTCAGCTGCACCTTCCAATCCTTTGTCGAACATTCACTTTTGACCGGGTGACAAATTCCAACGGGTGAAACCTCCTTCCTGTTTGTCCAGCCCACAGTCCTTGTGTTTGAATCCTGGTCACTCTCTCATGTGTGTCCTTTGTGTCTGCTGCTCAGAGCTGTTCTGGTTTTGTCTCCTCTTACTTTAAACCCTCTCCAACATCTGCATCCAATAGCAGGAATCTCTAGTCTCCCCTTCTCCCTTCTGTCCCTCTCTGTGACTGTGTGGGTGTTTGTTCTAAGTTCTTATCTGTGTGCGATCTCTGAAACCTCCACAGGAAGACCTACATTAAAGTGCCCTTGCGTAACATTCCCAGTTACGTATGAACTCCACTTTTGTTCACAATATATCCTAACTGGTTGCTCTGTCATTAGAGAAATGAAAAAAGGGAGGGTCTTAACAGAGCTCCACCAACATTTTCTCTGCTCGCTCCACATATCACCATGTGACAACAGATACTGTTGTCATAGATGTTGCAATAGTTACGTGACAACATTATTATATTGTAACTGGTGTTTCAGGCACTTTGCAATTTCTTGGTCTTTTACCAAAGAAAACAGCTGATGTCACAGTAAGGGGCTGGAATTTGTATCAGGTATAAAAATAACCTCACCACTTTTTGAGAGAGACAGAAAATGTGTAGATGCTGCTGCTGAAAAACCTTTGGACCTTTGGAACTGCTTGAAAAAAGTCCTCTATTCCCATTTTAGCCTTAATAAGCCTAAATTCTTATATCTGGAGCTGTAGCGTAGCTTCCTTGATATGTATATATGTTATGCATGTATATGTGTTCATACTGTGTGTATTCATAGTGCTGTTTGCTCAGTTCATCCAGAAGCTGGTGTTTTTTTATCTCACATTCCAGGAGTTTCACGCTCAATTTCCTGCCAAAGCTCTGAAAATAAGCTCAGCTCTGCAGTTCCCTGAAACATTATATGCAGAAAGAGACAAGTTTATTTTCACAAATATACATTTGAAAGCTACCTGAAAGATAATGTTTCAATTGGAATGCAAGTTTTTTTCATTTAGAAGAAATCAGATAGTTGCATATATGAGAGTTTACTTGTGTTTTATTGTTTTTCTGTGCGAACAAAGAAAGTGAAAATAATCAAATCTTTTGCAGATAAGTGTATTAAGCAAACTGATTATTTCTGATCTCATGTTCAAGCAACAGTTTCTTAGATCAGATGTAGTTCGGAGGCTCAGCAGCGTCTCCATGAGGAGGGAGGTTTGCTGAAGCACTGTGTGGACGATGGGTCTAGACCGAGCAGAAGATTCACATAGAAAGTCAGAGCAGGAGGTGAAATGAGGACATGAGCAATGATGTTCTTAAGAGCCTGAGATGGGACACGTGGAATTATCTATCTTAGAAACTGAAAGGTTTTCTCCACTGAAATTATTCATGATTTTCCTTCCTTGAGTTTTAAATTTAGTACAAAAAGTAACCATAACAGATGAGCATCTGTTTATAGTCAGCAAGATTACGTTTATTTCATTTTGCACAACACCACCA